CCATACTAACCCCCCCCCCTAGACGCTTCATCGCGCGCAAAACCCTCCGCGCAGCAATCTTCTACCTCATCGAAGACGCAATCTACGCCTACACCGCCGCCTCCCCACACGGCTCCTGGCTCGACATCGCCGCCTCTAAACCAGCTCTACCTATCGTCCACTACCCCTTCTGGCACCGCTTCTGGTTCGCGTGGGTCCATGTCGTGCTTACCTGCGTGAGTCTGGAGATGATGAACACGGTGTGCGGGATTGTGGCCGTGGCGACGCATCTAGCAGCGCCGAGTGAGTGTCCGCGCGCGTTTGGGGAGCTGGGCGGGATGGTGCGCGTTAGGACTGCTTGGGGGTGAGTTTTTTACATACATCTTATGTGCTGTGCTGTGTAAGTGCGCTTGCTAACGGTATATTGAAGATCTACTTGGCACCAAATGTGCCGCCGCATCTGCTCCGCGCCCGGCACTTTCCTAGCACGCGACATCCTCCATCTACGCCGCGGCTCCTTCGCATCGAAGTACGTGCAGCTGTTCGCGGGCTTCTTCGCGTCTGGCGTCGTGCACGCGGGCGGGTCCATGCTATGTCATCGGTCGTTTAACGATGATGGCGCGATGGCGTTTTTCATGGCGCAGGCTGTTGTTGTTATGCTGGAAGACCAGGTTGTGGATTTTGGTGTCAGTGTGGGGTGTAGGGAGGGGGTGTTTTGGAAGGCGGTGGGTGTGCTGTGGACGGTGGGGTGGATTGGGGGGAGCTTGGTGGGGTGGCATGGGAGGATGGTTGGGCATGGGATGTGGGTTCATGAACGGAGGCCGGATTGGTTTGGGATTGGGCCGGTGGTTTGAGGGTAATATGTGGGGCTGGAGGGGAGGGAGGAGGGGGTTGTTGTGGTGAGGTGTATGGTGGGTGATGGTGGGGGAATGTAGTGGTAGTGATGAAGTTGGGTGGGTAGTAGAAGTTGATTCCGCAAGAATAGGTTAAGCACATTATCGTTTTACTCCACGTACCCACTCGATGTAAGCAGGCTCACCTCACGCATCACTCCTCCACTTCCCCATCGTCACTTCGTCTTTCCAACTCAGACAGAACTATCCCAAACTACCCCCTATCACCAGCCTCCTCCCTCCCACAAAACTACCACAAAACCACTTATCACTGCCCAGCGCTTTACTTCTGCTCTACCTATATACTCTTACCCTTCACCGACATGCGTCCTCAACACTTCGACGGCCAACCTGATCCAGTCGCCCCGCACAACAACCGGAATACACCTATCCACACAATCACACACACATCGCAACCCGGCGCTGAAGCTACGATCTATGTAAAACATCGCACTGATGTGCGTGATAAATCGTCGACGATAACGTGCTGACGCTCTTGGTACTGCTCTTGTGTGAAGTTGGGAGGTGACTCACTCGTGCATTTAGAAATGTTGTAGCGACTACATAAGACGTGGGCGGTATGATGCAGATGCACGGAATGAATGGGAGAGCGAATACAACTATGGGTGGTCTCCTCGGAGGAGTTACACGTCTACGGCAAAACGGAGCTGTGGTCACTGTTTTTGAAAAGTGGACGTCTACACGTCCGAGCGAAGAATGTCGGCTGGGCTGTTGGTCAGAGTGTGAATATGTGCGCAATGGAGGCTGCGAAGAACAAACCCCTCAAGCTAGGCAGGCAGATACCACGCTGTAAACAGGCTGTGAACAGCGCAGCGTGTAGGCAGTAGACGGACGTAGCTGTGGATGGGGTATGTATATGTTCTTGGTTGTCGGGCTGTGGCGACTACCAGACCAGGGCTTTTGGACTTTGTGCTGCGACCTCGCTGACGTACCCCTTCGCTCGAGGTTGGCATGTTGACCAGGAATGGTCAAGATTTAAGACTTGTCATGCCTCACTTGGGCCTTTCTTCTGTAACACCAACTGGTATATCGATATGCTCCTCGTCCTATATCGTACCACCATCGTCCGCTTCCTCGCCTCCCCATCCACTTCCTCTCGTATTGACGACTCCAAGCTCTTCAATCAAGACGAGTTGCTCGAGTTCAGGAAAGTTAAACCGTTTCGCCTACCTCTTATAATTGAGCGCCTACACAACATCAACGCTACAGCATCAGAAACTATTGATGATGTAGTTGCAATTACACCCGAATTGTCTCCAGACCATCCATCGAACGTGGAGCTTTTACGCACACGGAGATTATACCCCTCTCCTCCCCTCATTTCTTTCCTACAATCCATGAGAATCCTACAACATGGTCATCAGCTGGAGACGCACGTCTAGATGCTGATTTCGCCAATGCAGTAAGGAATGAGCTACAACTGGCTAATATTCCAGGCCTTGACATGGATAAGCGGCTTATTGTTAAGCCATTTGGGTCATACGACGCACCACTGGTTGTTCTGTCATGGTGTCTGACCATCCACCGCAACTATGCAACCAGCAATGACACGTTGAATTTTGCAATGTTTAAGCTCTTAAGCCAGTTTAGGTCCTATAAGATAAGTGTCCACGCCAAGGGGCTGTTACTGTTGGATATCTTTCCTAGGAAACGTGGGGCGTTCATCTTGCAAATAGATGTGAGCACTACCTGCAAGAGACAGGAGTGAAGGTTACCCGAATCTGGCAGATAGACCTGTCTGATCGCCGTCCTATTGCTTGGCTAGAACACGCCTCGCGTAGAGATCAACCTTCGAAGCTATCACGGATAGTCTTCTATTGTCTACATCTAGAGGCATTCACACGGGCCTAATCCTACATTAAAAAGTTTGTTAAGCTATTAATCTTATCCTGTTTTAAGAAACTCCTAGATATTACTAGTTGTCGCGACCAAAATACCGATCGACCGATAGCTCAGTACGCGGCTCGTGACTGTATATACCTGCTGCGACACTAGTGTATTCGTGTATAGTAGTTAACTACACGTGCCTGCGTTCTTGTCAACAATGCAGTATTACAAGCAGAAGGCGACTGACCTTATCATATCTATGGACTCAGAGGAGATCGTGTCATCCGCTTCTGATACAACAAGCTTATATCAGGGTCAGATATGGTGGCGTCGCTGCTCTCTGCGTCGTAGAAGATCGTTGATATCCGGTAAGCAGAAAAATGTGTCTGACGTATTTAACTCGCCATATCATGTTCCATATTGTTTCCTCGTCGTTTCTATTCTGATTTACTGTTCTATCATGTATCAGAGCGTCAGAACATACTCGGTTCTGCGCAAAGATAGCGTACGATGAGCTCGCCAAAAGCAGCTCTAGCTATTCCTCTATGTCTTTCTTCATTGATGGCAATGGTTGCTTCTTTGTCTGGGGCGAGATCAAGGGTCGATAAAAACAGTTTGCGAACATAATCAAATATGGATTCTCATACGTAAACTTGCTCAAAACTTACCTTGGTATGCTTCTTCCTACCGTGAACCAACATCTTCTCTATGTAACTACGTTGAGGCTGAGTAAATGCACTCTACAATCATCTCTTTACATGGCCGCGTTACTATATATATAGCAAAGAAAGAGAAAAACATACGCAAAACTCTTACCAAGCCGCCTGGCGATATACTCTCGGAACGAAAACCAAGGAAGAATAGACGTATATGTAAAGCGCGAGCATGTAGAGATGTTCCTGCATGAGCGGTACGTAAGAGCTACAACAGTGTTCTTGAGCCCCGAAAGTAGACTTGTGTGGGGCGCTGTAGCCTACAGACATAACATAGCGACGTCGAATTTGACGTTGTATTCCATCGTAGTTTTCAGCGGCACAGAATGCAAACGAACTCCTTGATATATGACCTGGTGGTTTGCACTACTTCTTGCGGTGTTCGGTCGTTATCTTGTGTCTGAGACAGTTATACTCTCTTCAGCCCCTCGACGCTTGTTACATACCTGCCCTACTAATTGGTCTCGTTGAGGTTAACGAGGAGGTGTCTAGATTGTGCCGCGGTGAATCTTGAGTATGTTGCATTCTTTAGTGGCTGCAGGGTCGCATGTGGACTACCTAGCCAGTGGCATGTTAAGCTGCGTGAAGATGTTTGCTTAGGATGGTGGTATCATGATCCTCTAATCGCAGTCTCAGTCAGGGCATGTCTTCGTGCCGCTCAGGTCCGAGGGGTAGGTCCGCACTCATTCAAGATCTACCCAATGATTTCAGACTACGATAAGGACTAGGGTCGGGATGTTTGAATAAAGACAAAAGTATTTGAGGTTAATGAAGCTCTCAATCTTGGCACCAGCTTCACGTTATGGGCCATTCCAACTCCTCCTGTGTAGCGGATACCTGGCAACGATAACTAGATACTCTATCAAATTGAGTAAATGCATGCGAGTGACGATGGCTTTGTTTAGTACGAGGCGGAATTTGGTAGCATGACTGAACCTCATGGGAAATACATGCAGATGCTTGTTTTTACTGATAGGGCATTGTTAGAGTGTACAAGTAGTCCCTCTTGCGCCAATCAAACCCGAATCGTTCGCTTCATGGGGAAGTGGAAATGGCTGTTAGGGTGCTAACCTAGGTGACTGTGTAACATATCGCCGTCATATTCTCCCACTCATGAAAGGTATTTGCGAACTGTAATTCAGATTGGTATACCCAGTTCACTCTTATCCTACGAGGAAGTCGGACTTAGTCATAGCGGTGAGGTATCATGTACTAGATTGTTCAAGACCGTCTGGTGTAAAAGACACCGGCATTACTAGAAGAAAGGGGAAGGGAATTGAAGAGGTAGTTGGCGATTGTAGAAACTAGCAGGACTCTTGGTAACAGTGGCGTTATTCGCAAGTGCAATCATGTTATCAAGCGCTTGAATTGAAGACGCTTCTTCTGCAAACATTGCCTGCTAACATTGTTTGCACATCTACGATTGCGGATCACGATAGCGTGGTAGAAGCCAATTCAACGACGCATGGTAAGGATTAGTCGAACAGGTATGAACCTACTCAATGACGAACGCACTAATTTGACATTCTATAAAAGTTTCCTAAACTCAACGAAACGCGATTTGAAAGACTTCGAAACATTCTCAGCTACCTGTTATAGTCCTCACTTCACCAGCAAACCGCGCATTGCTAGGGTAGCGATGACTCGAACTGAAGATGAACGGCCGCAGGGGTTGTTATAGTTGACATGGGATGTGTCAAAACGTCCGTACATGTGTAGTACTCGAGCCCAGAACGTGGTCAATCGAACGCGTGCTGTCAGTAAATTATCCAGATAACTTGCCGTCATGTGCTAGCTTGTTCGCTCGCAAGTCATGCTCCACGGAAGCCTAACATATGTCTCAGTAGTATCTAGTCTAAGCCGAGGGCGAGTGGGGCGTTGTAGTATTTAAGCGAGTGTGACAGGCTGCATCGACGCCACGTCGAGCATGGCCTCTGTCAGGATACTGACATGACAGTTTCGAGTCTCAATTCCGATAGGCTGACTAGTCAGTAGCGAACCGAGATAGCTTGCTTTTTTCAACCGATGCGTCACTCACACACAGCCAATGTTTTGTTGTTAACGAAAACTTGAGGCCTGCTGCAACATGCTCGTATCGATTGGTACAACTAAAGTGCGTTAAGAAAATGAGGTTCCGAACTTCCACATTGGGGTATACGGCCGTAGATGCCCCCACACTTGATATCGCAACGTGCTCCAGGTGTTCCTAGTGCAGAACAAATTGTTAAGGACACGTGCTATACTTGCACCGCCACCGTGACATCATATCATGGCTTTACTATGTAAAACAATACCACGTATCCAACATCTCATTGTCGCCCGTCAAATACGAAATTTTGCTTTTGATCACACAGCAAGCAAAATGTCTAACAGAGAGGTAATCGTCGCTCATCCGCTGCATTCTCCTGGAGCTGACGCCACCACACAGAAACAAGATTCGAAGATCAAGGACGTGGTCGCTGGTCAGCAAGATGATTCTGTCAAGATTGATCAGATCGCAAAGATTCGCGGGTCGTTCGGTCCAGAGGATAAGAGCATCTACTACCCCACCATCCAGAAGTATGTGAACGAGGAGGTTGACCTCGCAGAGGCAACACACAAATTGTGCGACCCAATCGACAAAAAGATTTCCGAGAGCAGACTGGACGACGTGAACTTTTGGGACTTGTGGTACAGCATTATCCACTCAGCAAGACGCACTACGTTCCACGACACAGACAAACACGTGAAAGTCATAGATCTCGTGGGCGCATTCAAGAACCACTCGATTCCCGGAAATGAGAAGTACAACTACCTTTACAGCTCTCTCACCGATTTCGGTATGGCGTGTCGCGAGGTTCTCAACGACAATCCAACAGCATCAGCAGACGAAGGCAGTGTCTCGCAGATCGAGATAGATGCTTGGGCCAACGTAAACATGTTCTTTGCTCGCATCACTCTGAAAGATATCCAGGATCTGTCCCTGTACGCTATATGGATGATGCGTGAAGCGCTGGAAGAGGTCAAGCAAGACGACGAGCGCACGACTGCGGCGCAAAAGTTGGATATGTCGGTGCCGGCCGCGGCGATGTGGATCTTTGGCATGGGAAAGGCATTGTTCCATAAAGAGAAAGATCTCACCCCCTCGAACAGCCTTGAGGGTAATCCTGCAAGAGGTGGAGAACTGTGGAAAGGAAAAGGTGAGTTCAGCAAGAAGCGCTGGGCGCTCTGGAAGGACAGATTTGCAGAAATTGGCAAGATGAAGGACGTGAGCGAGAGGACAAGCGGGCTTGCGAGGGACGCCGTTGAAGTGATGGAACGTGCTGAGACTTTCGAACTTGTGACCCAGGATTCGGACGATGAACCTGAGTTTTAGAACTCTAAGAGAGTGTGAATCCGAGGGGATGAAGGTTGGGGTTCTCAATCGTCATGCGAATACGCTCTTGCAGACAATGCACATGTCCGTCGGGTTGTTTCTCGACCCAAAGACGATCAAATTCAACGTTGACTCGAAGAAGATACATCGATCCCTTTTCACGTATGGTCACCACACCCAGTGCATTCGTCCAACTATATATCCTGTTCTTGAAATTTAGTAATGAACACCTGTTTACATCCCCCTGCACATAGTCGCCAAGACGGCAGGCGCATGTAAGGACGTTGAAGTTGATTAATTGTAATATAACTATGTGGCGTGTCGCGATTAGCTTGATGAGTGCGCAATTAAAGATAGCTCTAGATGTATGAAAAATTAGTCCGATTCCGGATAACGGCCGGCTGGGGAATCGGGTGCCTGGGCGCCTGGCTATTCTTGCCAAGGTCCTCCACTATCAGCTCCCCGCCGCCCATCGTCGGTACTCGGCTTAACCCCTATCTGCCCAGGATTCCAAGAGTTCTCTAGAGGCTGGATAGATCGTCATGTTGGACGAATAACGTTTCATCCCCGATTCATGCCTTCCCAATTCGATTACACGCGACACGATCATGGATAAATACAACTCTAAACACAAGAGTCGCCGAGCACCTTCCTTCGCAAGACCATAGTCCAGTAGCAATATTGGAGTGTACTTTGATGTGTGGATAGATTAGTAATTAGGTATCTGGGAACAAGGAGCTGAACATCTTAGAGCAAGGATTGCATCGCCACAACCCTAAGAAAAAGCAAATTTCGAAGTAAGATCGGCGACAAGCACAGACGTTCTAGCCCCCACCAGCCGCTTTTGCGTTAGAGTAGTTAGGCAAGTCAGCCATCACTTTGCATCACAGACGCTTGTGTGCTCGTAGCGTCTCAGACGTCTGGAGTTGAAACCGCGGCGAGTTATGTTGTGCATTCACACTCACATCTGCCTCGAAAGTGGACGAAGAGGCCTGCGGTTGCCATAATTACCGGACTACCACACCTTGAGAGATCGAAGGGATTGAATGACTACTAAGGACGTCTTTCCTACATGAAGAACGAAGTCGGACTTCCGAAGAGCGAATTGCGATGTTCTCTTGCCGCAGTGTTTTCCACCTACGAACATTCCTCTCTGCCTCCCTGTTAGCCCACGCACTCGCCGTCCCAGATAATCTCATCGTCGAGATCAAAGAGGATGTCAAGGCCCACGCCGAATATGCCACAGCCTTGACCGGCGGCGAGGGCTGCTCCTTCTCCAACCTCGAGGATATACGATCTGGTTTCGCAGAAATGACGTCGTTATTTCTAGCGGCCATCCCATACGATCCCAACGACCAGCCTGCCGTCGAGTTCTTCGGGTACACGCCGACGAGGAGGAACTACAGTACCATGGTCGGCGAGAACTTGCAACGTGCCGCGCAATACGCCAACGTGGTGGGAGGTCCCGGCACTCCAAACTCGGATATTCACGTGCGATGCGACGACCCCATAGATATATGTCAGATTGGAAACCCAAGAGATGGAAGGCACACGGCATATAATATCGGGAATGACCCCCACATAAACTTCTGCCAGGACTACTTCGACCTGGACGAGTTAGATGAGAAGGTTGATAAGAAGGCCAACAATCAGGCGGAAAGAGAGATACTGCACAATTATTATAATCGAGGTAAGTCCATGAAATCCCCGTAAAAAGCCCAGGACATCACGTTAACAGGAGGAACAGCGACCCTGTGGGCTCGCATGGTCATGCACTTCTCCGAAATCGGACACGCCATAGTCGCGAAACCTATTCCTGCTCCCGCAAACTCGCCCAAAGAGTGGCTGTTAAGTGTCTCCCAGGGACCCATGAACACTTCCGTCCTTGCTGGAGTCTTGAATGAGTGTCCAGGCGGCAGAGATCCAAACAATATGCAGACCTTGAAATACGCCTACGGAGTCGTGCGATCAAAGATCCTTGCAGTGCTCTCAGTTCAGATGCCATACGATGCCGCTAACAACGCAGAAAATTATGCCTTGTATGCTCAAGCACGTTATATCATCAAGAAGAAGGGCTTCTATCCCAACATGCCTATTATGGATTTTCCGAATGAGGAGACCGTTATAACGAACGAGCAGCTGCAAGATGGGGAGAGGGTGAAGCATGCTTTCTTTGACGCGCCGGATGTTGTGTATGTATATATTCTGGTTCGCTTCAAGCTCTGCAGAGACTGATTGATCAACAGAGAACGTCCTGCCGATATGGAAGTGAAGGGCCAACCACTCCCTTCTTCGGCGTCGACCGTCTTTGGAACGTGCTCCACGTGGATGGGATTGACGATATTCGTCATTGCTCATGCATGTGTGCAGTCCTCATTTGGATGAACAACATGTCCTTCTGTGCAACGAGCATTCATAAACGGCGGAATGGACTGCATGCCCAGTCAAAACCAACCGACGCCAGCATGCTTCGGTGGTGGATATCACGGACATTCGTGGTGATATTTGGCATGACTCAAGTCCAACCTTTCTCACATCTGGCATGACGTGTTAAAGGAAAGTACACTACGCTCTCACGGTACATGCAGCCGCCGGACGACATTGGCATACTACGTATTCGTGACGAGCTTTGGGAAGACAACATGAAAGAATGATACGCTGGGAACAAGATCCGTGGCGACTCCTAGTGACGAGAGATGAGGGCGAAGGCGACGGATGAAACAATGTATAATTGGATATGAACTCCAGGCTACTAAGCTGGATCGGCGATGAGGATATCGAGTAAGGCTTCATGTCATTGTACGCGATCCTATGGACATCAATGTTGCCGACTTGTCTACATACGTGGCCAGGCCAAACAACAGACCAATCGGATAGTCCAAAGCTCCACAGAAGCAACGCTGAAGCGAGAAGGAAACAGAGTTAATGCAAAAACAAAACCAGACAAGAGTGAAGGATGCAAAAACAAACGAAACGCCATCACAATCATCCCCTATCTATTTGTCAGTGATCAACACTATCTCGAATATGCATTGCCGTTTATCGTGTTGGTGGCTGCTCCCAGTGACGCAACATCTGGCCCATAGCCCAGTTCCACTCTACTACAAAAGCATTGGTGAGAAGAGTGACTTGATCTGGCGAAGGAGTGCAACCTCCCCACATTGACTACATGGGATTAGCATCTCATCCAGCAATTCGAGGGTCTCTCAAGACGACGTACCCGTTGTGACGCCTGGTGACAAGCATAGTGCGGAATGAGTTGACTAGAAAGATCAGAAACCAACCAAGTATTGCCGTGTACTCGCAGGGGGCACCTACTCGGTCTCGATCTTGTTAAGGACCAACCAGCACAAGTTCCACGAGCGGTTGGATGCGGGATCAGTGTAGACGCGACGTTTTGCCTCTTCTAAACACTCCGAGCTATCATTGTCATGTCAATGTGTTGTGAATTTCAATGGTGGGGATGCGAACTGACCTGAAGGGATAGTTCTTAGTCAGTGCACGTAGCTCGGTTAGCAAGCTGTGGTAGGTCACGTAGTATGACCCTGAGGGCGAGGTGTTAGTATCAGCCTAGTACTATGTTGATGATGTCTGCTTACAAGCAGCTGTCATAGGCTCGCTGACATCGGGAGTGCCTAGCACTGCAAATACTTTCTCGATGCGGCGCAGCTCGACTACGGTGTTGACTTGGTGGGATCGTAGAACTTGTATGTACTGCTCCTTCTCGATCTGGGTTCTTGTCGGTATGGGTAAACACTGTTGGGGTGGGGAACACTATACCATTGATATTCTGCGAGTGGAGGGCATTCTTTGGAAACTAGGAATACGGTAGTTGCGGGCTGGTGGGCTGTCGTACTCGCTGAAGTCCGTGTTGGTGGACGATAGTGAATGGGTGGACATGTAAAGTCGGTTGAACGGTGAGGTACAAATGACTTGACAAAAGAGCTTTTGATTGTCTTCCTCTTGTGGGTTTGGTCGAGGATGTGTAACGAACAGTCTGGTGCTGGAATTGGAAGGCTATATGTCAAAAAGAATCCAAGATGGTAGTGATGATTCAAATAGGAAGCTGAAGAAAACGCTTGTGCTGTGATGAAGCAGTGAATGATTGACCCCATACCATTATATACAATCACTCAGCTCAGTGTTGATTGAGAACATGGAGCTGTGACTACAGCTGAAGACTAAATGAAGTATGGTGATCAACCCATCGAGAGAACACAGCTCGGACGAAACCCAGTAACGCTCACACCCGGAAAGCCACACTGTCATGGAATTGTCCGACAACACAAATTGATCATATCAAGAAGTCAGAAGCCAGCTATATGAGGGTCCGAGGCAGGGGTATAGAGTGAGAATGAGTTCGTGTGTGGAAGTGTAGCATCAGCCTCAACATAGTGAAGTATCTGTGCGGCCAAATCATGTGTTTAGCATCCTCTTGGCTTCCATCGACGAAGCTGCCGCCTGTTGAGCACGGAGGAGATGACTGGAACATAAGCTGTGGCCATGCCCATGGTCACGGCCCGGTCGATCTGAGGATCTCAGATGATGGCATGGATCTGTCAGCCTTGGAAACGTTGGTAAGGGTCGGCATCTGTCGTTATCGGGTTATAGAAGATGCGAACACGCTTTCGTGATCACAAGTGCATCTCGGAAACCCATGAAACACCAGTCAAGATGCCATCACCGTTGACACGATGTTATCTCTTGAGTTAGTATGTGCCTCTCGGCGCCTAGCATTCAGCTCTGCATGCCCGTGGTGAAGTTCGCTGTGAGGCTCAAGCGGTAGACCCGACACAGCGGATCTGACGTGCGTTCGGATACTCGACTTTCCGTGCGTACAACAGTAAGGGTAGCCATGCTGGTATTTGACTAAGCGCATGTGGAAAGTAGAAGTGAAGTTGAGGCTGATGCTGATCTATGTGCTGACGGTTACGGGGACAGACGTTAACGTTGTGTGGCTAGTTCAGCGCTAAGCCACTCTGCAGGATCAACCTCACCGCTGTTAATTCGATCGTTCACGACACAACCCATATTTTTGTACTCGGTTTCGAATCTGAAATGTATAGACGTCATATGGGCACGGTGACCCCGACTGATGTTGCAGGGCGTCACGGAAGATGCGATATCCGGTACCCATTATCATTCATCTCACAAGCCACGAGGCTATACCACAGAATAGCCGTTATGTTGTCCAGATCGGGTGGGCGTGTAAGTTCTTTGATATTACAACAGGCCAATCTTGTTGGAGACCTTCTACTAGTTCGTCATTGTGTCTCTGCCACAACTCACTGCAGTACGATCCAAGAGACAAAACATGCGCTTGACAGAGCACAATCCGCTGTCAGACAGGTTTGATACTGGGGGTCTCCGTGATGGTGGTTTCACAAGGTTACTCCACCACAGCTGACTGTGTCATCATGCATTATACGATGAATGAGCAGGTTGAACACAGCATACCCAAGCAATCGGTGATCACCCACTAGAGGAATATGCGAATGGCATCTCACGTTAGTATACTGAGACGTCATTGTGATAATAATCTTGAGGTTGTGCCTGTTCTGTCCCCTTTGAGTTTACTCCTAAGGGTTTGAACACTCAGCACTCTGAGTTTCAGCTATGCAACCATCTCAAGATTCAAATTTCTACTGAGTACAGGGATACTTAGTGGGTGATCTTAGCCAAGCTCCATTTTGGCGTAGTGAACGGCTTCACACGTGAAGATCCACTAAAATTACAGGGATACCTAGCTGCATCTCGCCCGCCGAACAACTTGCCCGACGCATCCACGTTTCCGAGTCTCCCAAGCTACTCCTAACCCATTACGCATACACAACCTTCAGAGCGTTTTCTGTAATCATGTGGATTATCGATTGGTAAGTCTTCCCCTGGAACGAATCTTTGGTGTTTCGTTGCTAATGTTGGGACAGGTGTAAGTTCACGTCATCCTTACTTCGTCCGTCTTGCATGCGGGTTGTTCGCATACCGCCGCTTTCGAAGATAGCGAGGAGAACAACTAGAAGGTTATCTGCCGCATACAGTATAAAAGCACATGCGTAGGAACTGCAGATGGTGGTCGGGACAGCGAGCGGACCTGGACTTGTCGCAATGCAACGATGCGACAACCTTCACATGTGCACGGAGATAGGAGCAACATCTACTACGTCGCGAAGCAAAGTAGCATGGACTGACAAATCATAAACAGTTTGGGACGTTCTGTCCTCGCTTGGTCTTATGAACAAGGTAACAAGTACCATGTTGAACACACCGAGCGACGCTAATCAAGATACAATAGCATGCCAAGTTGCTCTTCCTCGGACTGTACGTCTCCCCATATCCTCGAAGGACCGTATGAGCAAAAGGGCTAACCAGAGTGTAGTGACAATGCCGGAAAGACCACGTATGACCTCTGCATCCGCACGCGAGAGCGCCAACTAACAACCGCAGGCTTCTACACATGCTCAAGAACGACAGGGTCGCAGTCCTGTAAGCACCACATGCGCCGCTCCTCCCCGCAACAACTAATGCGCCCACCAGCCAGCCAACCCTGCACCCGACTTCGGAAGAGCTCGCAATCGGCAACGTCAAGTTCACAACTTTCGATCTAGGCGGCCACGCCCAGGCCCGCCGACTATGGCGCGACTACTGTACATGACCCTCACTTCCCACCCACCAATCCATACATAGTCTAACATCCTACAGTCCCCGAGGTCTCAGGCATAGTCTTCCTTGTCGACGCAAAAGATCACGAGCGCCTCTCGGAATCAAAAGTCGAGCTCGATGCCCTCCTCGCCATGGAGGAGCTCAAGAACACACCTTTCGTCATTCTCGGTAACAAGATCGATCACCCAGACGCCATCTCCGAGGACCAACTGCGTTCGGCGCTTGGTCTGTACCAGACGACGGGCAAGGGCAAGGTGCCGCTAGAGGGCATTAGGCCGGTTGAGGTGTTCATGTGCAGTGTGGTTATGAGGCAGGGCTACGGAGAGGGTATTCGCTGGTTGAGCCAATATGTCTAAGAGACGGGAGAGGGTTGGAGGAGATCAAAGGGATGGATGGGGCAAGCATGATGTACGAATGTCTTTCGCACACTGGAAGTACTCGGCGTTGGCGTTGGCATGTATGAAATGATATTACATCATGTTGTTACTTTCAACGCTGCAATTACTGCGGAAGGAATTGAAGCATGTCGTGATGAGCAGTGGTTTTGGCATGAACTGGTCAACAAGTGAATACGAAAAGCCGAGTTTGCTCATGCAACACAGTCGGGACGGACCGGGGATCTCGGCAATGCATATCCAAGTGCGCCCTACAACTCACACAAGGGGGCAGTAAACATAAAGTCGGCAAAGGAGACGATGTGATCTATGGTTGCATTGAAACCCGGAAACTATTCACAATAGGTGGTAATACAAGCCAGACCGGGCATATTTTGGCTACATGGAAGAAGATGTTTAGAGTACGGACAAATCGCCAAACTTCTCCTATAAGGGTGTTAGTGGTGTTGCAACGGAACAGCCAGCCGGAGTAGAAACGTGCCTTGTAGCCCGGAACAGCCCAGCGACCCTTTGAAACGAGCTGCTCGGTGCGCTGATCGATCTCTGGCTGAGCAGCCGCAACCTCGTCCTGAGTCCTCCGTTAGCACAGATCTGCCGCCCCAAATCCAACACGCTATACGCACCACTGTGAGGTCTGAAAACGGCCTGGCCTCCTGGATGTTGGTCAAAGTCTTCTGCAAGTCGCTCAGCTCCTTGTCGACGACGGCCTTTGTCTCCTCTGCGCTCTTGACAGCCTGCGCCTCAAACGCCTCGATGGCCTTGATCTGCCTGCCGACGTCGTACGTCGCGGGCTTGAAGGCGTTGAACTGCTTCTCGATGTCGTCGACGATGGCCTGGTTCTTGAGGATGGAGCGGTAGTGCGAGAAGTCGACCGTCTGGGCCTGCTCCGTGAGGACTGTCACCTTGCGGCGGGCGTCGTCGTTGCGCTTCTTGAAGGCTTGCAGGGACACGGCCGTGTTGCCTTTGAGGCCCAGCTGCGTGCCGAGCTTCGTCCAGTCGAGCTTGAGAGCGGCGCTGCGCTGTTGCGGGACTCAGGTTAGTTTTCTTGTTCTAGCGTCGGGGTGCCATTGCGGGCGAGGGAGCTCGCCGGACGCGGGAATTGCTGTCGACGGAGCTCCCAGGTGCGCGCTGGAGGGGGACAAACGTACTCCGACGGCCATTGTGATGAGTTGGATGGGGTTGTGGTGGGGATCGTGGCTGCGGGTTGCGCAACTTCTCCCGCTTCGCATCTCGCATCTCAGCATCTTGGCACGGCACGTGATCTCAATATCTACATCAGCATTTCCATCTTCATAAGCATCTACACATGCATGCATCTCTAAACACATCTATGTGCCACCATCCACGACATGGCAAGGCTCACATATCCCTTCTCAACAAGTCAACTCTCGAAGTTCCGACCTGTCCATGTTGCGCCTCTCGTCTCACAAATCACATCACACACCATGCAGCGAACAAACAACACAACGCGACTTTTGTAAGATCCATTTTGGAGATTCTTATACATGAGCGGGCAGACGTCTCTACAACGCCGCCAGGCTCAGGAAGTCATCCTTTTTTCCCCACACCACGGTCGTCTATATGCTCAGAGCCATGATAGAGTTGACAATGTCGTTGTCGTTCTCCTTGAGAGCCTTGACGGCCTTCTTCCTTGAGACGCTGGCTTGCTGCATGACGAGCTCAATGTCCTTGGCCTCAAGTCCAGAGTCATCGACCTCCTCGTCGTCATCCTCCTCCTCTTCCTCCTCCTTGGTGTCCTCGATGGCCTTGCCCTTGCCCTTGTCCTCGCTGTGGTCGTGGTCGTGGTCGTGATCATGGCCGGCGTGGTCGTGGGTGGAAGCCTCGGCCTGGGCGAGCTGCTGAGCAGCGGAGGCCTGGGCCTGGGAGTTCAAGTCCTCGATCTTGGCCTCACCGAAGATGCTGGTGCGGGGTCAGTATGTGCATTGCGACTGAGGCGGGATAGACTTACATCCAGGTGTTGCTCGAGGGCGACTTGTAGACATCGGGCTGGTTGATGACGAAGAGGATCTGGTATTGGGTGTTAGCTGAGATAAAGGCAATGCTGGCGGTAGGTCGAGGGGAGGGGGTATGCCATCTGGGGCTGTTTCCCCCCACCAATTGCTGCGTAAAGACTCACGTTCTTTGGTCGGCGGAGAGTGACGCGTGTAATGCCGTCAATGTGCTTCAGGCCGAGCTTGGCAATGGCCTTGCGAGCCTTCTTCTCGTTGCGCGAGTGCACGGCAACAGAGGCGCCCGCGGGGATCTGAGCCTCACCTCCCTCCTCACCCTCAGACTCGTCGCTTGACTCCTCATCCTCGATCTGGACGCTCTTCTTCTCGGGCTCGTCCTCGATCTCTTCAATGCGTGGGTTGGCCATGATGTCGTGTGTGTTTGGGTGTCGTGGTAGTCGTGGTGGTGCGGTAATCTTCCTCAGAGGTAAGGTAGGAGCTCAAAATGCAAAGTGGGGCTCCGGAAGGTGTGGGCGGTTTAGCGAGAGAGCTTTGGAATGACGCCCATGTCTGCGCCATTCACTTCAATGTCACATTCAGAAGACAGCTGCTTGGTTCATTCAAAGGGGTATCAAATTGGCAATTCTAGTTGCGGGTTGTGATTTCATGAAATTGTGGATTTTTGACTCTCCTGCTACAAGTGAATGCATGCAAGAGCCTGTAAACCATCCCATCCGATTGCACCATGCCAAACACTTGAATAATTCACCCGGACCCAGGTCTTGAATTTCGGAATGCCGTGGGTTGCCTTCGAAACGCTCATGAACTGCATGTCATGCCTCACCAGCACCTGCATGCAGCCACCACCACCACGCGCTGTCACCCGACAGAAAAGAGAGAGCTTATGCCTTGGCGCTGGCGCGGATCTTAGCAAAGGTCTTCTGGACCTCGAAGCGAGCCTGCATGTCATGTTAGCCATTGTGCTCATCCAGCCCATGTGTCGTCTCCCATCCGACATGCACAACCATATGCGACCACCAGAGAAGGACAAGGGTAGACCAACCTGCTTCCTCATCTTCATGACCTTGAACCTCTCGAAGTCGTTCAGCGCCCGCCTCTTGTGGAGCGCGGCACGCTTCTTGGCCCAAGCGCTCTCGTCAAACTTCTCCTGGACCTTGTGCTCCTTCCACTGCTTTGCGACGAAGCCGACACCGGTGGCGCGAGGCAGCTTGGGGATGACGATCGGGGTGAGGGAAAGTTTCGCGAGCGCAACTTCCTGTCGGGGAACGGGGGCCTTCTCGGAAGGACCATCAACAAGCACCTGTCTGTGTGAGTCGCTGCACGGCTTCCAGATGGCGGGCAAATCGTACACGCTTGTGGTCGATGATCTCGACGACCGTGGCTAACCGGCCCTCGTACTGGCCCTCATTGAAGAGAACCACACGGCCGACCTCGACCAGCCTCCAGTTGCTCGTTGTGATATCGGCGTCACCCATTTCGTCGGTATGTGCTGCGGTTGAACGTTAGGTCGGGAGAAAGAGTGTGAGGAAGTACTGCAGGCGTACCGGTCGGAAATAGGAGTCGGTGTTGATATTTGCTTGTCGTGATGGAGTTGTTCGAGTGCGATGGGCAATATTCAGGTGCTGGGCCGTGCTGCGCTAATTAGCGAGCTTGGCACGTCCAGACAAAAAGTTCGCGATTGCCTCGCGTTGACACTGCTGCAACACCACTGCCTCCCTCAAACAACAATTGCTATACTCGCGCTCGACTCGAACTATGGTGCACGCTTGCAGAGCTGTGTACACATTCTGTGCGCATCCGCCTATTTGCGGGTGACAGCCGTCGTTGTCGCGCATAGCTTGCTTGTTGGGGGAGAGCAGAGCCTTCACGTTACTAGTAAGTCCTCTTCTCACTCACATTCACCTTCCCCCTTCCGATGATGATGTAATTTGCGATTGAGTTCTTCGTCGGATTCCCTCGCCGGGGAGTCATAACGGCGTCGAACCTGTGATATTCCATTTCTTACATATCCTGAGCACCTTAAGCAGCCTCTACTGTTCATTGCACTACTAGTGAATCGAGACTGACTTAGCACAGATACAACAGATTGTGCAATACAACTGCAACAACTGACTGGAGCTGCTTTGTAGCTCCACCTTGCTGACCACCTTGTCGGCAGGAACCATTCCATGTGTAAGTCTCAACTTTTTTCCAAACCTTCCACACCCTTTCCGATGATTAAAACACATCACGCCTAGATAGTAAATGACCTTCTGGATTGATTACAGTGATAAACACCAAGATCACTGAGGAAACACTCAACTTCGTCTTCGTTGTACATGACTTCCATCGTGCAGTTGCTGACAAGTCCGCAGAATCAAGCACTTAGGCTTCCACCGGCTTACGAGCAATGTCTGCGACTTGAATGTTTCGGGTTTGAAAGACCAAAGCAACTTGTTTGACGACTCTCGTCCTATCACAGGGTAACGGTGTAACGCAGTGTTTCTAGCTCGGTAGGTTGGGTTGGGTTGTAGGGTAGTTGTAATTAGCATATCATAGTCCCAATTCATGATACTCCATACCACTTTTGTTCTAAATGAAGTCACTCCATATCACCTCTACCCAATCCGTAGTTCCTGTACAGGGTTTCGAGTTTCTCGCGTACTGTATCATTAAAGCCAGTCAGTGTGTCAAAGCTGCCTCTTTTGTAAGGAAATGGCACGACCTCGGGCGAGCCAGCAGCCTCATCAAAGTCAAATTCCAGTTCGAACGCATCAGCCTTCCTGAGCATGTTTTTCACCATCTGTCCTCTCGCACCATTCGCATCTGCAACGGCCCAAAGCGCTGGATCCAGAAAGTCAAGCGTGGCAGATGATATCTGGCGGTTTATCTGCGCATTGAACAACAGATGGCGAAAAATGTTGATATTGCAGCGGGAGTCGATGGCCGCACTTGTCAGCATATTCGTGTCAATGGCCTTTGCAACACCAAGCAAGACAGCCAACGCCGCGACTGCACGCTGGTTGCCTTCTTTGAATGCACCTCTAATCCCACGCTTCGCCACCTCTCCAGCTAGACTGCCCTCCCAGTCAATCTGCCCGTGCCACGAGACCAGAACATAAAGCAGAGCCACTTTGCCATCCGTCCATGGCCCACAGAGGAGTTTGTCGGGGACAAAGAAGCGTTCTGCAAAACCCAAGTAGTTCACGAGGCCGAACTTGGTAGGAACGAGTCCGTCAAAGCACTCTATCCCGGGGACTGGCAACGTCACGTCGTACCAGAATTTGCCCCGCATGTCGATCCGGGCATCCTGTGCTTTGGCTACATATGCCAGGAAGAAGTCCCACGTGAAGAAGCGGCAGGACAGCAGGGGGGATTGGAGAGCCGCGATGCTGGAAGTTTTGCGTTTTAGGTGGAAGCGCTTTTGGTTGATTGTGTGGAAGAACAGGCGCATGGTGTACTCGAGCGTTATTGCACGAGAGGAGAGCTTGCGGCCAAGAGACGGGCAACAGCGGGGCAGCGATATGTTCATGCTGTAGAGGAAGATGATCTCCAAGAGTTCCTGGGGGAGGCCTTGGAGGGTGGGCATGGCTGGTTTTGGAACATTTTTCTTCTTGGTTTTCTGGCGTTTAGACGGGGGTTGTGTTGTAGCCGGAGGGGTGGGAAATAGTTGGTGTTTTGCGGTGGGTGGTGCTGTGGGGGGTTTCCTCTTCCCCCGTATGCGGATGGGTGTTAGGTCCATTCTCATGCAGGCGTTGTGTCCAGGCAGCAGCGCTGGAGAGGTTACTTGCATGCATGCTGATGGATTGGACAAGGTGTGTGTGGAGATTGGTGGTTGCGCCACGATGCACGGGCCGGGTGTGGCTTTGACGGGTGTCGGCGATCGGTGTCTGGGGCTGAACCTTTTGTTCCTGGCCAGATCAACAATCCATCGACGCGAGACAAGCGCACCTACACGACTGTTTTCAGACCGAGACTGTGAGAAAGATGCAGGTCCACGCCGTGCCTGATTCAGAGCGCGCCATCGATTCGACGGGGAGGCGGCTGCCGTGGGGATATGATTTCGGAGAGTAAGTCGCTGTCTCGATGCATTGAGTGTCTGGCTATGTGTGTCAGTAGGAGGGAATGGCATAAAGGGCGCATCCTCGTTTGGACCATGGCTTGACGGCTTCAATGGTCTAGTGCACTTCAAGCTTCACTGTCCATAGCTAACCATGTCTCCCCCCAGCCCAGACCAGAACCAACGGCGCGTCCCCGAAGAAAAAGGCCCCTTTGGGAAAGCTCGCAAACGCGGAACGTCGCGCGCAAAGACACCAACGACCAAAACGGCGGAAGACAACGCCAAGCTCGAGAACCTCCGCGTACAAGACGACATCTTTGGCCGCTTCAAAGCAGAAGAGGACAAGAGGCGCTCAGTCTCGGGAGCATTGCCCTCCTCCGGCGCGTTGAACCTGATAGAAGCCGGCACCTCCTTCCCAACCGGCGCAGCGACAAACACATCCGCGAAAGAGCCCAAGGAAGTCATACTATACGGCTTCGGTACCGATGTACAATGGGCAGCGATCGACCATTACGAAAAGGTGTCAAACGGCTTGATCTACGAGGAGTACGACCGCGACCCCTTCAACCAAAAGTTCAACTACGCATTCGCCTCGCAGCGCGCCTCGAACCGCCAATTCCTCTCCAAAGACGCCCTACTCCGCATCAACCAATACATTGGCGGCAACCACTGGATAAGAGTAACGTTCGACTCGGCCGAAGCCGCAGAGCGCGCATGCCATTACTCGCCAAAGGTGCTGCAGGGCTACACCGTCTTCGCAGAGCCGTATCGAGGCACGGGGCCCACGGGGGGTGACAGGGAGATCCGCGCGGCCGTAGGGAGCATAACATCATTGACAACGTCGCCGGGCACCGTATCTTCCTGGACAACAGGACCAGGCGCATCGCAGTCCTCCACGACCGTGTCCTCCGCCACAGCCACCGCCTCCATCCCCGCATCATCCAGCCGCCTCTCACAGTCAACAATCACACGTCCCACCGGCGCCTTCCCCACAGATCTCGCGGCCCCACAATCACTACAATCCCAGGCCCTCGCCTCCACAACAGCCACCGCCACAACCACAGCCCTCTACCCCGCCTCCCGCCGCGCAACCCTCCGCCTCAAAGGCGCAAACGTAAAACCAGCCGTCTTCCTCCCACAGGAAAAAGCCTTCCTCCCCGTCGCCCCGCGCTGGCAGCAGACTCTCGGCGCCCTGCCCATCATCGGCTGGCTGGTCGGCTCAGGTCAGGACCAGGTCCCCAGGAAGGAAGACGGGTCCTTTGACGTGCAGAGTGCAAGTCTCTACTGGCGCGCGTGGTATGCCGTGGACGCGTGTTTTGGGAGTGACTTTTGCGGTGTGAGGGAGGGCGAGTATGATGATTGATTGATTGATCGATCGCGAGTGGGAGATGGGGCGAGGGGAGACGTATACGATATTTGCATTGGGTGGCGTTTTGGGGGTCGTGCATTGGCAGCGAGGGGGTTTCGCGGGGTTTGGGTTCTATTTGATGGGCTTGTGTTTATTCGTGTGAGAATGTGGACTTTGTTTCTGTAGAGAAGGTGCTGCCTTAGCAACAAGCACAATTGGATGTCCTCACGTGCACTTTGTTCGATCAGTCTTCGTGTATATGTCCCATTTGAGGCAGTCACTTTCGACGTGCTCAGTGGACTGCTCAACGGCCACAATCTGGTCAGAGGTGGGAGAAGCTATGTGGCTAATACAATTGTGGTAATTTCATTCATGCGCTTGTGTAGTATGCATACTTGCAATCCAGACATTACTTGTGATCAAGATTTGTATGTATCACAGTGCCAACTAACGGCTGCGTCGACACGTCCATCTGTGACAAGAGCGAATCTCTTGTCTTTGACGCAGTAAAATGATCATACATCCCAACCAGCTTACGAATCCAATGCTCGGGGTGAGAGAAGTAAAAAAACCCTCGTAGACTTGTAAGACAACCCCGACGCCGATAAGAAGAACGAAAGGTATGAGAGGGACCTCTCGAAGCCAGGGAATGTATGGTCGTACGAGAGAAGTCCTAAGATCAAACGTTCGTGCAAGGTGGAGAACATCGCATTTCGCTCAGCCTTCAACGGCGCCATCTCCTGTTCAGTGGACAGATAGCAAACGGTGCTCACGATAGTCGTGTATGCGCTCAGCCTCCGTCCTCTGTCAATCCCCTGCACCAACGTCTTGCCGTGGACGCTTGGAGGAGATATAGCCCGTCTCATCCAAACGTACACGTTTTCCATTCGCATTGATCAACCGAGATTTGGGCTTGAGTATGAAGATGTCCTCATCTGGAGCGTTGCGGGTACGAAAGAAGTCATGGCTACCCGGAAAGCTTCCACCCCAGTCCAGTGAGTTGTGTGTGATGTGGTCCCCGAGGGCTGTGGGAAGGTCAGTGCTTTACAATCTGCGGTGCAGGTTCATGGTATGCTTACTGTATGCTTCTACAGCAGCTGAAGGTGCAGATCTCTCTGACATCACAATATCTCTAGAGCTTCTCGGCGATCCAACTGGCGGGTTGGTCATACTCTGATGAGATACCTGGAAGGTTGACTTACTCCTATCTTCAGCGATGTCGACGCCGTAGTCTGTTTCGCTCGAAGGTGGTGAAAGTAGCGTTGGAGGAGGTGAGTTGCTTGCCAAGTCTTCGTAGAGTGATCCGTTGTCATTGTCGCAGTTAATGGCATCGAAGACATCTTCGTCGCTGTCAGCTGGACTGTGTAGCTCGGTCGGAGCTGCTTTCGTTAATATGGAAATCCGAATGTCTATCGTTTTGGTTGGAGAAAACTTACCAGCTGCAGATTCCTTGTCAACGGGCGTTCTATCTGGTATCAGAGACTGAGGACGTAGAGTCACCTCGTCGTCCTCATCATCGGCATCCTCGACTCGAGCTTTCTGAAAATTGCTACCTGCTGTTGTCAACACCAAAGGGGCATCTGGTTCCGAAACATCGACCACATCATTGCTGCGAGGTTGGATCGAACCTGGTTGGAGTGCAACAAATGCTCCTTCTGCATCCCTCGATACACAGGGAATGTACTCCTTGTCAGGATTCAAGTCGATGAAGGTTACACCTTCACTTACAGCTTGTGAATACAGACAAGGACATGTACAATTACGCTCTATAAACGGTTAGTCCTGACTGGAGAAAGACAATACAAATACCAACCTTCTTCATCCATGCAGTACATATAGCTTGGAGAGCGGCGAGAGACTCCCACACAATCATGTGTATGCAAGACAACCTTCACGGGTTTGCCTTTGTTCTGATGCGAGTCGACAGACTTCCATACAACAACCAGTTGGCCTCGTTTGTCGTTTGTGATGCATTCAACCGACCTAGGCATCTGTGATAAACGCCCCCTTGCAAGACTCTTCAGCCAGGCTTTCTCCTCAGCGATGCAATCGTGTTCTCCAGTCGCGATAAGCTGGGAGATCATGGTATCCCACAACTGGAGGACAGCATGATCGCACAGAAAAGTATCATGCTCGTCTGTACGCATCTCTTCACAAAAAACCTTTTCGTGGCTACCATCGTGTGTCAACCACTTTTGATGGATCTTCCAAGTCGTCGCGAAGTAGTTCGCATCAATCTGCAGGTGTTTTCCATCTACGAACGTAAGCTTCATAGCGCTGGTGTTGACCGAAGAATGCAGGAGACACCTCAACATCCAGTCCATGTGTGCTGCAAAGTCATTGTCTGGGACTTTTACGACTTTGGCAGACTTAAATCGATGATGGAGCTCCTCGCTTGGCGTCCTACAGAGGTGGAATTTGCGCAATAGCTTCCACATCTCCAGGTCTAGCGGTATAGGATTTTGCTTCAGGCTTTGTTCAATGATCGGCACTTCCTGCAACTTCTAGTCAGCGGTGGGAACGAGACTCCATAAATGCATGCTTACATCTTTGCCTTCGATTGCAGAGTAATAAAAGGCTGGCCGTCCTTGTAGACCTTTGTTCATGACGAGCATCTGTTGCCAGACCCTTTTCGCAATATCTTCAGGAAGAGGATTGTCGTCAATGCTCAGCATCGCGTCGCCCTTCTTGTTCAGAGACTTCAACAACATAGTCGTGTACTCGCTTATAAGGTCCGAATCGTCTGTCTCCTTTGCTCGTATAGCCGCTGCCCATATTGCTGCAATCCCTTTACTCTCTTCTCCTGACCCGGATAGAGATTCTCGATCACGCGTGGTGTGGCCTTTAACAAAATTGTACCCGTAACCGTACGGTCTCCCACTCATACCCCCACTGGGAAGGAGTAGACCGTGAAGGTACATCTGTCCTTGATAGATAGGGTCTCGGATGAGATCACCTTGTATTGTGCGAACCATCTTCTTCGGTGGGTCGATATCGAGTGTGACCTTCAGCCACTCCTTGAACTTGTCGATGTGAACTTTGTCTCCCTTAGCTTTGAGTCCATCAACAGTGCGCGTCGACCCTGGAGCGCCTATGATTACACATACATCCTTCGAAGGATCTACGTTCAGGGACCTCGGTTGTACGTTTGCCTTCTTCTTCAACTTATCCAGGGTCTTATCACTCACGCGCTTGAGGCAGCATGCAAGTTCTCCTTTCTTGAAGATGAAGTTCCATCTGAAATCATCACTCTCAATGCGGAAGTTATGACCACCTCGACGAAAGACCAGTGCAGATAGCTTCATTCCTTCACCATGCTGCCCCGTCTGATTCAAAGCGAAGGCTTTAGATGTAGCGCCGGTGCCAAGTGTGTTGTACGCAAGTTTGGCTTTGAAATTTGCCAACTTCAACCCTCCAACTGAGTACCCCTCCTTATCGTACTTGAAATGGATGAAACCGATCAGTTCGTTGGTACTTGGATGGAATGCTTGGATGAGGATGAATCGCTTTTGCTTGTCTTCCGTGTATTTCGTAGAGAATTCAGAGAGGTGAAGATTGAACGACCTCAACATGCCGTCTCTCCTGTGTTTTGTTAGCCTCAGATCGTAGTGTGCAACGTAGGTAGCGTACCAGTTCTGGTAGGATTCACGAAAGGCTTCCTCACCACCCCATGTGGGCACGTAATTGGTGGTATAGTTGAGATACTTGATCGTGCGGTTTGGAATGTCTGCAAGTTTAGTGAGCAAACTTGGACGGGTGTCGTCGTCATCCCCAAGTTCGCTGGAATCGCTGTAATAGTCTTCCATGATGCGTGATGATGAGTAGATGACAGCGTTGGACAAGAATCTGAACGACGGGAGTGATTATCCTAACAAGTTGGCACGGTTGTCGACCTGAGAAGCTGTAATCAAGGAAATACGCAGGCACACAACGCACCACTGTGAATTGAAGTTGAAGGTTTGGAGCAATCTTTCAGTTCCAAACAAGCAACGACAACTGAGCAATGTGTATAGTGGCGAGAAGTGAGTTGAGTACAAGTGGGGAGACCTGCGAACAACGCAAGGTGCAAAGCAAACAAAACGATGATCTATTGTCTATGAAACCCCGCACAGACTATGACCGCTCACTAGCGCGTCTTCTTCTGTAACGCGCCATCACATGTTCACGCGCCAACTAATCACACAACCGTCACTGTACCGTTGGTCCTCAGATCTTTCGAGCTGCTTCCAGCATGCACGAGGAACTCTCCCTTTTCAACCACATACTGCATCTTACCATTCCACAAGCCCCAGTTTGCAACGTCAAGCTCCACACTTACGTCTACCGTCTCCCCGGCCTTCACCAACACTTTCTTGAAGCCCTTCAACTCAATGTTTGGCACAACAACAGACGTAAGAACATCCTGTACGTATACTTGGACTACTTCTTTGCCATCCACAGAAGCCTCATTGGTGACGCTGACGGTTGCAGTGATAGTCTCACCTGCACTGACCTCGGTCTTGGAGAATGTAATGTTCGAATAGGTGAAGTTGGCATAGGAAAGGCCGTACCCGAATTCATACAATGGCTGTGGTGTGTTGAGGACGTACTGGTGCCCGAACTTCAGTGTACCATTTGAATAAATTTGACCGGCATCCGTGTAGCGTCCGGAGTTCAAGAAGTCGTAGTAGATAGGTAGTGTGCCAACGTCGTACGGGAACGAGACGGATAGTTTGCCAGAAGGATTTACATCACCGAAAAGAATGTCCGCCAAAGCCGCTCCACCTTGCTCGCCAGGGTAGAACTGCTGTACAAGAGCGGCCGCGCTTTCCGAAATCCAGGGCTCGGTGACAGGCTTGCCAGAAGAGTACACCACAATCGTAGGCTTGCCAGTCTCGATAATGGCTTGCACCAGCGGACCCATAGCACCGACCAGGTTTAAAGAGGCGACATCAACATGCTCACCTGTGGTGGCATTCAATCCCTGCCAGAGTTCGTTCTGGTCGCGAGACCAAGTACCCACCAGGACGACTGCAACGTCCGCGGCCTCTGCTGCGGCGACAGCATCGGGAAAACCGGATTGATCGTTTGACCAGCGTTCGCAGCCTTGTGCGAAGGTTACTGTTCCATTCGAAGCGTCCTGAATACCTTGCAGCGGGGTCACGTTGGTGGGATTGTATTGCGAACGGTAGACGACGTAATCACCAAGGTTGGTGAAGTTACCCATGGGGCCAATGACGGCAATGTTGGCGGACTTTGATAATGGTAGGGTTCGGTTCTTGTTCTCGAGAAGAACGATTGATTCAGTTTCGATTTTACGCGCAAGCTCCACGTGCGCTTTGGCGTGAATGATAGACTTGGTAGCTTCTATCGACACGCCTTTGTACGGGTTCTCGAAGAGACCCATCTCGAACTTAGCTCGGAGTTGACGTGCAACTGCTCTGTTGACCACATCGATATCAATCAGGCCTTCTTCAACTAGCTGGGGAATCGTTTCGTAGTTGTCTAAAAGTGTAGGTGAAATGTTAGCTAATATCCTACCAGTTATTCGGGAGCGAACATTACGTACATGAGCCGCCACCCATTTCTACATCGTTGCCGTTAGGAAGAGTCATCAGAGTTACCGCTTTCCTATCGATAGGCTTGTCGGCAGTCTTGCATTGGCAGAGCTTGAAATTGCAACACAATCGGTCCGTAGCGCCCGCATCAGAAGTAACCCAGTAGTTGTATCCCCACTCTTCCCGCAAGACGGTTTCTTGAAGATGTGAATTAGCCACAGAAGGAATGCCGTCGTAGGAATGATAGGCCCCCATGATGCTCCAGGCGCCAGCGTCAATGATGGCACGCTTGAAAGACGGTAGCCATGTTGTTCGTAGTTCTCGCTCTCCACCATGGACCGGTCCGGTGTTCAGACCCTGTTCTGGCGCGGAGAACCCAGCAAAGTGCTTGACTGTGGCGCTGACGTTCAGGCTTTGAACTCCCTTGACGTACTGGTATCCCATTTCTCCCGCAAGAAATTGATCTTCACCGTACGTCTCCTCGACTCTGCCGTAGCGGAGCTCGCGTGCTAGGTCTACGATTGGTGCGAAGAGCTGGTTAATACCTAAGGACTGTGATTCTGTCGCGATCACGACCGCCATCTCATGAATAAGTTCTGGATCCCAAGAACATGCATGAGCAATTGGACTATTGAATATCGTTGCGTTGCCGATGATCACACCGTGGATACCCTCTGTCTGAGTCAAGGCGGGTATTCCGAGTGTCGTGTTGTGCAAAAGATAGTCTTGAGCCCTCTTAATGCCTTCACTTATCCAACTTGGTGGCATCGCATAACCAACATAGAATTGACCAGCGCGGGCGTTGAAGTTCCATACCAGACCGGAGCTGTTGAATTCGTTGGTAGTCGTATTTAACCAATTCGAAATATCGCCCTGGATGAGCTGTGCTGTCTTCTCCTCGATGGTCATACGCGAGAGGAGATCGGATACCCTGGCATCAACCGAAGCAGAAGAGTCTTTGTATGTGGCGTTGGCTGCTTCCCGTTTGCGAAGAATGTCGAAAGCATTGCTGGGCAGTATGCACCCTGCAAAGAGGAGCACTGCTTCGATGGAAAAGTACCTCATCGTTGTTAGTCCCGTGGATGTCTCCTTCAGTGGAAGTTGACACAAAAGTTCCAGGGTGTCTCCATGGTATTTATACAATATTCGTAGTTAACATGAAGAGACCAAAACGGATATACGCCCGCTGTTCCTGTAAATTCGAATAGCGGATATTACCCCGCAGAAGATGCATCCTGCCCAGGAAATGTAGCGGGGGGTCCACTGACAGGTACATGGACTCATAGATTTGGAGAATGTGACGGATCTACCTCAAACATCTAATCTCATGTATCTTCATCTTCATGGGAAAAAGATATGTGGCAGTGTACAAGACCCATCATGTAGGTCAACGCTTTAAACGCGTAGTATTTCACTACAAGATAAATTCAACTGCTTGAGTAAATGTGAACACCCTTGAGAACGCAATTGTGGTGATCGAAAGAGGAGGTGACGTGAGAAACAACGGAGCTTGAAGTGTGATTGACGGAAGAACATGTGGCTGCGCTATTTAACCGAACCGAACTGATCCCGTTCCCCAACGTCCTCCGCAAAAGGTACCCCAGATTTTCTTTTCACAACAGCATGTAGCAGCGATCCTCGTTAGCCGATCAACAGTCTTGCGGAGACTAGGAATGACGTTCCGTTAGCGACGGGCTGAAGCTACGCTTAGCGGACTAGCCGCTATGTAGAAGAGAGAGTCTAACCCTCTTAAGTCTATCAAGACGTTCAACTCGTGCCACCAGGTACCACTGCGGGTTCTTCTTCGCCTCCATATTCTTCCGCTTTACATAAAAATCTTCGATCACTTGGTTTCTTGGTTTCTTGCACATTCATACCAGCATCGTGTTCTTTGTCTGACCAGATCCGTTGAGTTGCTGCAACAGCTACGCCGTTCTTGGGCGCAGGCACAGGCAAGAAGTCGCGTCAGCCATTTGGTTTACGGATACTTCACATTGGATGGTTGGTTGTGGATATAGTCCAAGTTGGCGTCCAGCAAAGTATCAAACTACTATGGTACAAGAAAACCCCTCTTGGCTATCGATATACAGACCGAATCGATGTCTTGTTCACTCGTAGGTATCGCCGATACTCGGTTCGGTTGCAAACTTAGTATCTAATTTCTGCATCCGCGACGGGCGTGGAGTCGGCGTGCTCGATTGGGCATCGCTCAATTTGTCTGTAGGTATCCAGAGACCCACACTTCGATGAACAAAACGCTTAACACGCCCACTGAAATGTATTTGTTCCGGCGATGCGTCTTACATCCATTGACAAGGCAGTTTGGAAGCGTGCACGAGCACCTTAAGCGCGTTGTGTGTGGCTGATTCAAAAGTGGTGATTGCCGGATAAGGACAGCCGAACAGTGATTGGATATCCGGGAGCTAAGGAACCCAGCCTCATCAATACTTCGTCCGACATCTTCCCAATGACACAAATTTCTGCTAAGATGTCTTCTGATTTGGCTCGGATATCAGAAGACGACCTCATCGCTAGCTTTGACGAGCTGGTTGCTGATGACGTCATCGTATATGGCCCGCACGAAGTCATCCAGCAGTCAGCCTCAGGCTTTCCAGTAACTCACCCAGGCCTATTCAACATCAATAGTGAAACTCACCGCACCTTCAGATAGAATTTCGCCTTTGCCCCTCCTTCGCAAAAAAACCACACACAGTCGGCGCGTCCAACCCCAGCTTTTCTCAATCTCGCAAATGGGGACCAGGCAGCGACATGTACTGTCCGGACGAGCGACTTATTGTCGCAAAACTGAACGGCACACACGATCTAGCGTTGAACTTGTTCTGTGTCGACAGACCTCAGCTTCTCCTCTTGACTCTAGATTCGTATCGTAGACAGTTTGAGCCGCTGGATAACGACGACTTCAAGGCTGTCCTAGAGGTGCTGAGGAGATGGAACAATATGTATATCATATACAACTGCAGTGAGGTAGGAGGATGTAGTCGGACGCATAAACACATGCAAGGTCTGCGAGGGCCGCCTTTTGCATTCGACGCTCTGGTCCATGCGGAGGGGAGCCCGAAAGTACCTTTTCGGTATTTCATGCATCACTTCGAACAAGGGTTTCAGCGAGCGTCTGCGGTGGATCTGCTGCAAGTTTACAATAACATTATTGGTCAGTGCAGGACCATGTTAGGTTTGAGCGAGGCAGATGTGTGTCCTCACAATGTCGTACTTTGGAACGACCGGATCATCGTGATCCCTCGGAGGAAAGGATTCATCGAAGGAGCAAGTGCGAATGCCGCAGGCATGTTAGGTTCTATCTGGGTTCCGGACAAGAAAGAGATGGACGAGTGGATGCGGCTTGGATGTGCAAATGTTCTACGAGAGTTGGGTGTTCCACGATAAACGGATGAGTAACCCGCAGAACGAATTAAGGCAGCCAAGACCCAAAGAATGCTCGAATCAAACATCGTTAAGGTCTATTCTACTGATGAGCCCCTGGACTGGCGTCTCAGGCGGGGCTCAAAACATCCGCTCCACGGGGTATGTTTTCTAATGATGATACCAGTAACTGTGACCTGGTGGTCCTTCTACTACCTTGCCTTTAGATATTACCATAGATAAACCCTATCTTGTCAATCTCGTTCCCGGCTCTGCCCAAAAATCCAACAATTCCTCGTCCTTCTACAGCAGTTCGTTCCACACAGTCACCTGTTTTTGTACCTGCACTTATGCTCCTACTTTTACTAGTCCGGAGTTGCGCATAGAAGATCCTCGCCTGACCATCTTTCTCCCCTCTGCATAGGGTTGCGTCAGTCAACTTCTCACCAGCATCTAAAGTCAGTATTTGTGCAGTCCCGCCACTCCCACCATGCGACAGCGTTTGACCAGATGCAAACTTCAGTTCGACAGCATCCAGCCGCTCGTTACCACGCAACGTTATAGACGACACAGTCGGGCCTCGCAGTTGGGATAACGTGCTCATGTCGTTGAACCACGCCCCAAACTCTCCTCCGAACGCATCACCGATTCTCCAAGATCCGCTCTTCGTCCACGTGAAGTCAACAAGCACGGGGTCGTGATCGCTCAAAGTATCCCCGTTGTCTAGCAGGAACTTTTCGCCCGCATAGTCGAACTTCGTCGCCCGCAGATCAACAGCAGGGGAGCCGCGATACCATACTTTGTCCACGATCTCGCAGGTTGTGTTGGGTGAGGGATTGTCGCACAGCAAGGCTTCAGTACCAGATGTAGGTGCAACGCCAGATTTAGCGAGCTCAACCCAGGCATCAGTCATGGAATTTGTGGTGCCGAAGACGCCGGGGATATCACCAGTGCGGGTGTATCTGGTGTTTGAGTCGCCGAAGACGATAACAGGATTTCCGGCTGAGTAAGTAGTGATGTGTGAAGACACTTGGCGGAGATTGGAGGCGCGGGCTTCCAAATCGGCGGTTGTGGTGCTGTGACGAATGTTAGTTTGTTTGAACATGAAGTGGTTGGTATCAGAACAAAAGTCTGGCTCAATGCTCACTAACCCGGCATCAGCATGTAGATTGTATGCGTCGATCCACACTCCCTCATCAAATTTGACTCTCATGAACGTAAAGCCTTTTGGTGTGAGACAGTCTGCGCTACTGTTGTAATGCATTTTGCGTTAGCATCGTTCAACATGTTTTCGGTTATAGTCGTTACTAGTCGTACTTACTCAAAAGTACTACACTTATCCCACTTCACCCTCTCAAAATCAGACCAATTGAAGTTACTTAATGAGTTAAGACCACTACCGAATGGCACTCCGCCACTTGTTGCTGTTCGATACGGATGATCATCATTTTCGTATAACGTAGCGCTAAAAATGGAAATGTCAGTTCCTGTCGAGTTTTGTGTGTAGAAATGCACATACTGGTAATTGAAATCTTCTTGAACGTGAATAAGCGAAATGTTGTACTGAGTGAGCAGCTGGCCTATGCGCGCGGTATTTGCGACCTTGTCCCCGGAATTGTTGTCGTTGAGGACGTCAGGGAGACCGGCGACATTGAAGGTTATGATATTGAATGTGCCAGTCAAGGGTGAGACTTGAGCGGCAGTCAGAGTGGAAATAGCAAGCAAGAGCGCAGGGACCATATCAACAGAGCTACGCATGATGAATATCCTGAGATGTTGTGTACTGTGACCCAAGATGGCTGTAACGGCGTTCTAAAGCATTATATAAGTCTGTGAGGATCAACATCATGCTATTCGATGTCACTGTTTCGGAGACATGTCATTTTGAGAAGGAGATTAAGCCGAGTAATAAAGTAAGTGGGCAGAGTATTGGATCGCCGCAGGCATTGACAACGGAGCCTTTCTCTCACCGGAAAGACAAGGAGCGTTGAGCATCGCATTTGTTTAGCGTGCTCACGACTATTGGCCAATCAATCAAGATTGTCGATACAAGTGGGTGATACTTAGACAGAGAGCCGAAAGCGGTCTGTAATGCGCAAATCGTTGATTGTATTGGGGACTTTTCATGGGTTTGCAATACCTCTGATCCTGACACTAAGCTTGTCCCTCGATGTTAATAGCACAGCATGCTCAATATCCCAGCATTCTCCAGGACTTCAATCTCGGCGCCGAGCACGTTGGGACACAGTGCAACCTATTCCATGTATTGAACTTCAAGATAGGGAGAAGCTGATCTGGGGACAGGTTCTAGTCTGGGACGAGCTTATGGGTTTCTTGTGTGTGCTCATCGAAACCCTGTGTTAGCAATATAATTTCATTGTCACTCGGTCTGGGACGCAGAGACTTCGAAACGCTCGGCGACGACATTAGGGCAACTCGAATTGTTTGTTCGGGGGATCCACCTGTTCTCCCACCTTTCAGAAAGTAGCTGGGTTTTACTCGAGATTTATGTAGCATTTGGACGGATCAATTCCCAGATTTTGGAATGAACAACGAATATCTACGCGCCGAGGTCCCATCATGTGCAAATTCTGTTAAGCGGATCGCACTTGTGATCTGAAACAAATGTGACGTCACATCCACTCTCTCGTCAATTGCTCAATACACGATAAGTCCTAGATAAGTCCTATCACGGCTGCGGAGTTATGACTACAGTGGGTTCTGCGTCATAACGATGCCTGCTATATAACAATTTCCTGTATTGTAATAATTAAGTATTGCGCCCTAGGCGTTTTTTTGTGTACATAACAATAGCAGCTAGTTAATATTACAATTAGCTAACATTATTATAAGGCTACTATTCTAAAGGAGTTTAGATACCTAGCTAGAGCCTCTAGCAGCTAAAATTTACTCCTAGCTATTACCTAACTACCTATTTTAGAGCTATTACATAGAGCGCAATTATAGGCTAAGAAGGTAGCATTTATCTTATATAATTACTAACTATTTACTAATAATTTATTAGCCTATACCTCCTAATACTAAGCTTAATTATTACTATTAATATACCTTTAATAATAAGTAACGCTTAGTAATTTAGCAATATACTAAAGAGTACCTTAAGGCTAAATAGTTAATAATAGCTAACTAGGCTTTATATTAGTTTAGCTATACTATTTAATAATTAATAATTAGCAAGGTACTATTAAGCTACTTTATATATATTAAGAATATAAGATAAAGAGCAAAGAATAAGCAGTTTAAAAAGAAGACTTATACTATATAGCCTAACCTTAATAACGCCTTATTTAAATAGTATATAAGGCTTAAAGCTATATATATCTCTATTACTAGTGCACTACTTAAGTAGGTAGTAATTAAGCTATAAGTAAAGCTACTATACTATATAGATTAACTAACACTATTATTTTATAAGGACTTTATTAATAGCTTTAAGAAGCGCTACAATATAAAGCTTATTAAATAATATAGTAAGGCTATATTAGCTAACCTATTAGTAAGCTTAGAGTTAGTAATAATAGAGGTATACAGTATCTATTTTAAGTACGCTGCCTATAATACTTATAATATAGATAAAATAGGACTTTTCTAGCGTTAGGTACTAGAGTAGATATTAGTAATAGAACCCTAATTTAGTATAAAAAAGTATAAGGAGTAGGTTATAATTAGACTTACCTATAACACTAATAGCAGCTATAAGCTTCCTCCTATTATTATTAGCAAATTAAGATACCCTTAAGTACTTAGTAGTAAGGGTAACCTTCTTATATAAGGCCTTTATTATACCTATTATAGTAATAAAAAAGCCTAGATAACTAGAAAGCTAATAGTAGAGTTTTTATAAGATTTTAATACTAAGATAGCTAGAAGAAAGGTACTATTAATCCTAGATAGCTTCTTAGCATATATAAGTATAGAGAAGAGAATACGTAAGCAATTACGCTACATAAGGTATATATAGGTAAGCTGTTAGTATTATAGATAGGCTAAATCTAAGCTTAAGATTTACCTAAGTCTATAAATGCACTATATATTAGCATTTTAATAAACTTCTACTAACGTCTATAGACTATCTTAATTAGGTAAGACATAGACTTAATTAAGTAAGGCTTAAGTTACTTAATAAATCTACAGCCTCTAGTTAGCCTAAATATTTAGGGTTTAGGAATATTAAAAATTACTTACCTTATAATACTAATAGATTACTCCTCTATTTCTATACTTAACTTTAAGTTTTTATACTAACTTATAACCTATAAAGTTATTTTTCTACTACTAAATGTTACTTTACACTATTAACTATATAATTAAGGTATTATCTAGAACTTTAAGTGTAAATAGAAGGCTCTCTAGCTTAAATTCTTTATATAGAAGAGCTTAGATAGGCATAATACTATTAAAGTAATAAACCTACTCTATACTATTTAATAAATAGTAATAGTATAGGAAGGCGTTCTACTTTAGACTATTACTAATTACTAGCGTAGTAGTACTTACTATAATATATATTATAGTTCTTAGTTCTCTTCTTCTTATAATTATAAGAATATTAAGAAGCTTCTTATAAAGCTTATATACTAATAAAATATACACTTTGCTATAAGCCTTAATTACCTTATAAATAAGTTTATTAATTTAGTAGATAAGCGCTATATTAATATTAAGCTAGCTAAAATTATTAATTACGTAGTAGAGCTACACCTACTAAAGGATAATAAGGATAAAAAGAATACCTCCCTAGTATATCTATTTATATATAAATAGGGTTATAAGCTTATTAAGTAGCTCCTACAGTATAAAGGCAGTAATAAGGATACGTAGAACACTTATATAAGCATACTCTAGGCGCTAAGAGGCTGTATTAGGTAGAGGTTAATAGCAGAACGCGCTACTATATAAGAATAGCAAGGTATTTGTAATTACTTTAGATAATTTACAAATATACTATTTTTACTAGCTATATACTGTTTTTTTAGAACTATGTAACGTGCTAAGGAATTCTGCTCTGTAATAATACAGGCGCGGTAACAATATTTATCTTGTCCTGATAGGTATCGTTATGACGCAGAACCCACTGTATAGGTCATCAAAAAACTTCTTCTGAGAGTCTGATCGAAGGGCAATCCTAGCGTGATGAAAATTCTCATGACGTCAACCCAACACTGAGACAATACGTTGACTACTCAGAATAACAAGGATTTCTCGTAGTTTAGGTCTGTATCATCCCACAGTACAAGAGCACCGGCGTTCCAACCGTAAACAGATAACACTCAGCCTACAGTTCAATTCTGCTAAACCCTTTGCATATTTCCGGGGATGACAACGTGTACAATTAGCCAGCAAGGCTTGACGTGTGAAGGAGAGGTAAGTTTGAGTCCCTGGGGCAGTACAAAGGTTGTTGAGCTATGAATATAGATTCCCGGAAAACTACTGTGTTCAACTTCAACTATACATTGCTTTTAGAGTTATCGTTGTATCTTGTTGTTTTGCCCAATTCTCCTCCACTCAATTATAGTTTAGGCGGCACCCACGGAATGTAACGTTGACATACCTTCAGAAACCGAGTTTGACACTTTCCAGGCATCGAGTCAAATTCTGGTGTATATACGAAACCTTCGTCCACTCGTCTGTATGGCACCCACCTTCTCTTGAAAAAACCTGATGAGTCCATTCACGTCATAGTTTATCAAGAGCAAAAAGCACCTCTAGATCAGGTTGAAAGGATTGGATAACGCTCAATCTGGGCTCTTGTTTTTAGAACTATATCCATCCTTGAATCTTTCAGCTTCATATCCTTCATTTGGTGGAGCGACAGCGAAAGTGAGACATAGCGGCATATCATGATGACAGGCTAAGTTACTTGCTCTGTGACGCTGGCTTCACAGATATACATAGCTAGAAGAAATACACTAACCCAGAACTGAACTCTAGCATCTGCATCTGTATTGTGGTCTAATTATTCGTCTGTACGGCCATATTGATTGTGCTTGCATTGCGTTTGCATTATGTCTCTACCCCTAGTGTCCGCTCTGAAATTGGGTGTAGTTCCTTGTAACCTAGATACCAACATCTCTCATTTCGGTGTCAACTTGTTGTCATCACGCATATCCAACTATTATGATGCGGACATCGAAAGCTTTCGAAATCGCAGGTCAGACCAGTACCCATCATTTGCGGAATGATTGGCCGCTCCACCAAGCATCAAGCCTAATGTCCACGATACAGGTGTGCAAAGCAGAGCCTTTGTTCCTGTCGACAATCGTGAGACTCGATTCGATATGCAAAATCTCCTGGACATTGTCAGTGGGAAACATGCGGACTATATACATCAAGCACCTCGCGTCGGGCGAAGAAACCAAATAATGTGGCTGAGAACCTCAGGGTGGCCGAGACAGTATGGCTCGATGTTGACGAGGATAGCCAAGAACCGTTCGAGATCAGTACTGAGGGCATATTTTTCGACTGTATAGCATCAGGGACTTTGATCTCGCTATATTCTACATCCGGGGACATATTGTTCAACTAGACAGAACTTGATTCGGCTCCTCTGGGCGAGAAATCATACGTTGTTCAATACCTAGTATTCAACTTCACGCATTATGATTATATACCGAATACGGACAACAACTCAGAATGCACATCTCACCCGGAAGAACCCGGTACTTCTTACAAGACCACTATCCTCAAGGCTATCTCTTTTGGCTGGACTTGCGAATCTA